GGGAAGCGGGATGTGCTGGTCTGGGGAGGAAATGCTGACTCAAGGAGGGGCAGGATAAGGACAGCACCATCTTCTTCAGCAGGAGGGAGTGTCGCCTCCGGAGATTGGTCCAGGTGGTGCTGAGCAAGGGCTGGGACAGTATAAAAGCTCTGCCTCTGCCAGGCTCTCCCAACCACTGCTCTGCCTGCCTTCTCCTTCAGGAACAGGGTAAGTCGGAGACTGTCTCATCTCCTTGTCCCTTTCTCCAGCCCTGGCTCATCTGTTTTGGGGGCTCCCCTCTGCTGCTCTCTTACCATCTCTGCCCTCTTGCAGAGCACCATCCGATCCTGCACAAAGATGTCTTGCTACGACCTGTGCCCACCAAAGACCAGCGTGGCCGTCCCTCAGCCCATCGCTGAGAGCTGCAACGACCTGTGCACCCGCCAGTGCCCCGACTCCACGGCCTTCATCCAGCCACCCCCCGTCATGGTCACCTTCCCCGGCCCCATCCTCACCTCCTTCCCCCAGCAAGCCGTGGTGGGCTCCTCTGGAGCACCTGCCTTTGGGGGCAACCTGGGTCTGGGGGGCCTCTATGGTGCCGGTGCCACCCAGGGCTCAGGGGGCCTCTGCACCTTTGGCAGAGCCTACGCTGCTCCTGCCTGCAGCCCTTGTGTCTTGCCCCGCTCCAGCAAGAAGCTCTGGGACACCTGTGGGCCCTGCTAGACCCACACCACACAACTCGCTGACCCCAGACCAACCGCCAACACCACCAGCACCCAGCTGAGCTGGTTGGCACAGGAAACTCAGCAGTCTGACCAGCCCCAGCCAAGGCCTGGGCAGCTGGCAGTGCTGTACACCCTTTGCCCCTTCCCTGCCCTTGTCCCCTGTCCTCTGCTTTCCTCCCCTGCCCTCTCCTCCCTACTCCAGGATGAGGCAAGAACTGTACCCAAAATGCTTTGTGGGTCTGATGGGCCAAGTCCTTGGGATTTGGAATGCTGCACCAAGGGGGCATGTGGAGTGAGAAGCCACTCTCTGGAGAAGGTCCCTCTGCATGGCACAACATGTGGCATCCATCATCTCTTGGTCTTGCCCACCATCTCTCTGACAATCTCTCCTGCCTGTCTGGGCATAATAAAGGTTTCCTGCCTGCAAGTCTTGTCTCCCTCCTTCCTTTTCCCATGTTGTATAGATACAGGCTGTGGGGCCAGTTGGGAGAGGGTGGATGCAGGCAGCAGGCAGGGAAGAGGGAGCCTTTTATTGGGGCTTGCAGGAGGTGGTGAAAGGGCAAAAGGCAGGAGAGGGTCTGACAGTGCTTCCTTGCCTGGTCTTCTCCTCCCAGGAGTGACACCAGCTCTGCCAGGTCCCACTTCTTGGCAGAAGCATGGCATCATCTCTGGGTTTCTGCACAAAGGAGGCTGGCCAGAGCCAACGTTCAAGCCAGGGCTTGGAAAATAGCAGTGGATTGCTGGAGAGCTGTGGATCAGGATAGGGCCATGGTGGATCTTGCAGTCACCAAGTCGAGCATAAGGTGACAAGGTGGCTTGTGGCC